GAGTACCTGAGAGAGAAAGAATATACACTCACATGGCCAAGGGTTCCGAATCCATGCATAACCGAGTCCGATCGGCTAGAATGAGTAGAAGTCACGTAGAGTGGGAGCGAGTCCCAGCTGTGCCTCCAGTAAGATGAGGCCGTGACTACTAAAGAGAGTTGGTAGAAAAGAGTTATGAGAAAGAGAAAGTAGAGAGAAGCATAAATAGAGAGTAATTGAGAATTGTAAGGAAAGAATTAGAGAGAGAGAGAGTTACGGGGATAGATGAGTAGAGGATTTACTTACTGAGTATTAGTTGTGCTCACCCCGCTGTTTTCTATGTTTTGCAGGACCTAGGTGAGGATACAGTCGGAAGGGCGTCGACAATCGAAGAGATATGGCTACACTGTCCACCTTGTTTTGATGTTTTGTACATGATACAACCTTTTGTATAAAGAATGTATATATTTAATAAAAGAAAAATTTGGGCCCAACTTTTTATACTACTTTATATGTATTTTATTATGTACATGTTTTATGAGTATTTGAGTAGAAAGCGGCTATTACAGACCCACTGGAGGATTCCATATAAATGGTAACCCTAGTGTCTATGGAATAAATTCTCTAACAAATGGTGGTACATGTGATCTTTAGACTTGAGATCATCGGAGTGTCTTATGCACCGATTGGTGTAGTATGACACTAGCCTAACACAGTTCTATTCAAAATTGTCAATATGGTAGTGATTGGCTGCATCGAGGACTGTATCAAGACTTTGGTGGATCGACAGAGGATTCATCACTCCTGGGTACGAGAGAAGTTATCTCACGGCGCAATTCAGTAAATAGCAATGACACTAAAATTGTGGCCACAATGGGATTGAGTTGTTACTCAATCTAAGTTATCATTCTGGTCATTGGTCCAGTAACTGAATACATACATATCGAGAGTAACTAAGGTTGACACTATTTCTGTGTCTAGGTCTCGATGAGATTACAGATGATGAAAGGATTAAATTGTACGGTAACCATATCGTTGATAGGTAGCTACTTCGCTGAATCTGAATCTATCAAGTGGTCATGATGCTTTGCTAGGGGTCAATCTTGGTCTATGTGTAGTGAGACGATTAATTGGTATTAATCGCGATACTGAACACTTCTGGTATGATGAGGAGCCTACGGGTCACACACATAGAAGATAATTTAAAAATCGGTTTGTGAAAATGGCGTTTTCGTCTTCTTAGGTGAAAGGGTATTGTTGTAATCTCAAAGTGCAATTAAATTTGCTAAGGTTGTTGCCTTTATTTAATTTGATATTAAAATTAAATAAGTGAGATTATATTTAAATATGTGTCCGCATATATTTAAATGAATTATTGTTATTGTTAAATGTTAATATATTATATATATATTAATTGAATTTAATTGAAATAATAATAATTAAAAAAAATATCTAAATGGGGTTGTTCGGACATAGGGCTGTTTGCATTGGTGTCTAAGCCTATTCCTAAGTGGAATAGGGTTTCACATGCACTAGATAAGTACATGTGTTCTATGAATTAAGTAGCACTTTTCATTTAAGTCATTTTTTATATCATATTCGTTGAAAAGCTCCGGCTCACTCTCTACCTCACGCCACTTTTCTTTGTATGAATCAAATTCATTTGATTCTTGTTCTTGATTCTTGAAGCTAAAGAGGATCTAGCAAATCCTTCTTTAGCTCTTCAAGTTATCTTCGTGTGGACTACCGCTAGTTTGATTCTACTATGAATCGATAGCGAACCCAGTCAAAGACAAGTTTGAAGGAGTCTCGAAACGTGCGTATGAACTCTAATCTTAACTCTGATAGTTCATATTACTACAGATTTAACATATTATCTGTAATATCTGTATCTTGCTCTTGGCTTAAAATGGAATCGATCGCTATTTTATTTTTGTTTTTCCGCTGCCATGGGTTAGATCATTTCCTAACACTTTTGTTATCTCATCGAGATTGAGGTATAGAAATAGTGTCAACCTCAGCTACTGTCGTTATATATGTATTTAGTTACTGAACCAATGACCGGAATAATAAATTAGATTGAGCAACAATTCAATCCCACTATGGCTACAGTTTTAGTGTCATTGACATTTACTGAATTCCGTCGTGAGATAACTTTTCCCATACCCAAGAGTGATGAATCCTCTGTCGATCCACCATAATCTTGATACACTCTTCAACGCAACCAATTACTGCTATATTGACAGCTCTGAATATAATTGCATTGGGCTAGTATCAAACTACACCAATCAGTGAACAAGGTGCTCTAGTGATCTCAAGTCTAAGGATCACATGCACCACCATTCGTTAGAGGATTTATTCTGTAGACACTGGGGATACCATCTATATGGAATCCTCTGGTGGGTTAGTCTAGTGAACTTGTCTATGGCAAGCACCCATGTGTTATACCAAGTTGTTAGCAAACAATCTTGACAAGTGAGATCAATTACTGCCTTTTGACAAGGTCGTTCAACACTATGATAGTCTTACCATATTATCTATGTCTTTGGTTAGAATAATACTTAGGCTACGAACGTTTCTAGAATGACCACCATATATGCTCATAGGGTTCTCATTATCAAGATTTGAAACACTTGATACCCTCGTCATAGTTCTACCATTGTAAGGATATATATCAATACATATAGATATGATTTACATGATATAGAATAAATTGCCTTTAATTGATCAATGAATATTATTACAAAGAGTCAATTCTACAATAATTGATTGGCTCTAGGACACCTACTCTAACATGTTAATCCACCATAGTCTTGAAACATTTCTCGATGTAGCCAATCACTACCGTTCTGATAGACTTGAATTGAACTACGTTGGGCTAGTGTCAAACTACACCAATCGATGCACAAGGCGCTCCGGTGATCTCAAGTCTAAGGATCACATGCACCACCATTCGTTAAAAGATTTATTCCATAGACATTAGGGTTACCATCCATATGGAATCCTCTAGTGGGTTTGTCTAGTAAATTTGCCTATAGCAAACACCCATTCATTGCACCAAGTTGTCGGCAAACAACCTTGGCAAGTGAGATCAGCCATTGTTTTTCGACAAGGTCGTTCAACACTATGATAATCGTACCATATTATTTATGTCTTTGGTCAGAAAAATATTGGAGTTACGAACATTTCTAGAATGTCCGTCCTATGCGGTCATAAGGTTCTCATGTTAGAGTATGTGCCCTATAGCCAATCATATTTTGTAAATTGACTCTTCGTAATCATGTTTTATTATCAATAAAGGCATTTATCTATACCATGTGATCTGATTATATTCATCTAAGAAAATGATATATGTCCTTAAGATGGTAGAACCATGACAAGGGTATCAATTGTTTCAAATCTTGATAGTGAGAACCATATAATCACATATGATGGTCATTCTTGAAATGTTTGTAACCCTAGTAATATTCTTATCAAGGACACAGATAATACAATAAGGTTATCATAGTGTTCAACGACTCTGTCGTAAGGCAATGACAGATCTTACTTATCAAGGTTGTTTGCCGACAACCTAGTATAACACATGAGTGCTTACCATAGGCGAGTTTACCGAATAGACCCACCAAAGGATTCCACATAGATGGTAATCTCAGTGTCTGTGGAATAAATCTTCTAACTGATGGTAGTGCATGTGATCCTTAGACTTCAAATTTAACTTTCTCCAATTTCAAGATATCGTCCCCTTAATTTGATATTTTTTCTTTACACCCCTTTCTCCATTTTCAATTTTAGAGTAAAAAACTGATAACATTACAGCCTGGCCCATTGCATATTTTTTTCTTTAGACGCCTTTCTCCAATTTCAATTTTAGAGTCAAAAGTGATAAAATACCAGACCCATTGCCAAGATATTGTCCCTTTAATGAGATTTTTTTCTTTTTTAGATCTTGATGAACCAGTATGTTTAGGAGGATAGTTAGTTCATACCTTTCCAGCTCAAGTTACTTTCAGTTTTATGTTTAGCTCTATAAGATATGGACATCACTAAATGAGAATAGAAGAGAATCAGAGAAGTCATAACCTGATGATGGAAATCAGAAATTCTGAAAACTTTACCAGGTTAGCTTTAGCTGAAGTTGCCAATAATAGAATGGAAATGGCAAAATTCTTGAGAATAAACCTTTTCTAAGAGGAACTAAGGATAGACCTAATATAATGATGGTGATGTAGCAACTAACAATAGGATGAAAGATGGAGATTATTGTGAGATATCAGGAGGAAGTATGTATACAAAGTAAAGACTCCAACTGATGTAGTTGTTAATGTGTCTTATCACATTATTACAAGAAAGTAACATCATTTATCACATTATTTGAAAATTAATGTGATGCTATCAAGTTACCAACCACATCAGCCGGGGATCCAACTTTATAACAATGATATTACCCAGGAAACAATCAGATGTCTAAGAGAAAAGAAGAGTATGTATTCAAAGTCAGAATCGAAACTTAAAATCCCAACTGATGTGGCTATTGATGTGTCAACACCACATTAATTATAAGACAAACATCTTCACTCCACAAAATCCTACAATTAACATAGTATTGACACATCAACAGTCACATTAATTGGAATTTAAAGTTGGGATCTCAACCAGGTATACATAGCATTACTGAAACAAGATATATTAATATTAGTTCAGTAATAGCTAATTGCTGACATTATATCTTGTAACAAAGTAATATGTAATTTACTTCAGGAAAGTATTAACCTGGTCTTTCATTTGTTCGTTCTCTCTATCTACATGAATCCCACAATAAGCTTTAAAAGTATATTGCATTCAGATTTCTACCAAATTCACGTAGAACAAATTTAATGAAGAAATTCATAGCTAGGTAAATCTAACTTGGAAACAGGGCAAGAGAGAAAGAAATTATCGCCTAATGCAAATAACTGAAAGAAAATATTTAATCTACAATGAAAGTCCTGAAAAGTTTTTGGTTCTTATTATAATTCCGATGTTTAGAATTGTTCAAATATCAAAGCAATGGCAAGATACTAAGAAAAGAGTAAAAAGCAACAAGAACTAAAATATAAAACCTTTAACTCATTTAAAATATAGAAACCCAAACTGGCATTTCTGTAACAACAAACTTTTCTATGATTTAAATTCTATACAAACAATATTTGCTCTAAATATGCCAGAAAATATTATGAACAAAAAACTTCAAACCTTTAAAGTAGTGAAAGCCCACTGGAATCCATAACTCGCTCCAGTGCACCTGTTAGTGTGTATCCATCAGTGTTGCAAGTTCAACACAATGATAAATGGATATGAAGGTCAAATCCCAAAACAGAAAACAACTTAAGCAGCTACGCCAACCTTGCTCAGGAGAAAAAGACAATCTAAAGATATTTACAGTTGAATGCATAACAGGATAGCAATTTGATTTCCGAAAATCTTTATTGCAAAGATATCCTATGTAGTCCATTGGTTTGCTGACAAGATAGAAGAAAGGATAAGAACCCTTCCATTAGTGTGGTCATTTTCGCATTTCCGCTCACTTATCATTCCCCCCATCATGTCAAAAATCAAACTCAGAGTAATACGTCTTTCCTGTGTACTTCACCCGGATTAACGAGTCTTCTAACCACCCTCAATTTGGTTACAGTCAGACCAACATAAGATTACAGCTTCCTAACACAAACTTAAACCCTACCATACACAGGCTGACTCATTCTCAGGCCTCTTTGAACGAGGTACGAGATCGCAGTTTCTTTGTACAAGACCCTCAAACAATCTATTTCTGAACAACAATCACAAAATCAACTGAAGGGTCATGAATAATACAAATTATGAACTTTCTTCATTACCTGAGCATATCCCCAGGACGCAACTGTGGCCCACTAAGTGCTGGTGAGATACTGAAAGCATTACCATCACCACAGAATGAAGGATGTCCGAGAGGCATTGGCCGATCAGGGAGTGGTGGAACCTCTATGTCACCTTCCAACATTTTTAGAGCGTCTGCAATGGTAGGCCTCAAAACCACCATGACATGAGCACACAAAATTCCAACCAACAGAAATCTTTCCATTATTGCCTTAGGATTCGAATTCACAAAATCCCCCTCTCTCAACAAAGACACATCCAAAACCTCCTCTACTTTTCCAGCTTTCACTAATGACCAAGCCCAATCTGTTATCAAACATGCACGCGGAGATCCTGAACAAGACAAATCAAGAGCTTTTCTCCCACACATTATCTCCAAAACAACCACCCCAAAGCTGTAAACATCACTTTTCTCAGTCAATTGTCCATAAAGCGCATACTCAGGGGCCAAGTACCCATGAGTTCCTGCCACTCTCGTAGTAAGATGAGACTGCCCTTCTCTGCTTTGTTTTGCAAGGCCGAAATCAGCCACTCTTGCATTCATATCAGCATCTAACAGTATATTTGTGGCCTTAATGTCTCTATGATAAATTGCAGGCTTCACCCCATAGTGCAAATAAGCCAACCCCTTTGCGACATCCAATATTATACTCTTCCTTTGAGGCCAAGTCAACGGCTTTTTAGTGCTTCCAACTTTATCATTTAAAGAAGGGAATAAATGATCATCAAGATTTCCATTAGGCATGTAATTATAAACAAGATATCTTTGATTACCTCTCTCGTCATAACTAGGACTATCCTCTTCAATCACACAACATCCTCTTAAGGGCACAAGATTTCTGTGCTTCAAATTGCTAATAATCTCAACCTCGTTACAAAACTCTGCATCACCTTGAAAATCCGACTCAATTATCTCTTTAACAGCCACCATAGTCCCATCTTTTAGAACCCCCTTATAAACAACTCCAAACCCACCTTTCCCTATAATATTTCTCTGTGAAAAGTTATCAGTTGCTCTCTCAAGATCCTGAATCTTGAACCAAATTGAACCAGTATTTGGCCTAAATTTCAGCCTAGACCCTTGTTCCTCTAAACTATAACCAGAATCCAAACGAGTACTATAAAATCTTCTCCTCAATTTCTTATCCCACCAAAAATACAAACCCAACAAACCAGTCATGACAAAAATTGCAACCCCAGCTCCAGTCAAGCCAAACACAAGAGCTGAGTGCCTGCTATTTGTGGAACCCACTTGAGAGTTTAATGACAACCCAAAAATACATGACAAAGCTCCATCACTTTCAGGGCCAAATTCATTAACCATACCAGCAGCATAAACAACAGTAAAGTAAAAGCAATCAATAGCATGAGTCCTATTCCCATCAATGGCAATCAACTGAGACTGGACTCTATAACCAGCATTAACACAAGCATCACAAAAACTAAGATCAGTAAGATCACGTTTACAAGACAAATCGAGCTGAGTTGACTTACCCAGATGGCCCTCCCAATCTTTAATAGTCACAATACTAGCACACACATTAGGAGTGATCACAAACTGTAAAGGGTCAAAGCAAAGAGAAACCAAATTGTCAGGCAAAGAAAGAGAAGAAAGCTTAGACTGGTAATCTTGCATACAAGCAATGGAGGTGTTGACGTCTGGTAAGTTAAACAAAGAAGTTTCTTTAAGATGCTCAGCCAGAGCCACACCAAAGAGAGATAAGAGACTTTGGCAACATGGGTTCTTGTAGTTTGTGATGGTTATGTTGGAGGTGGTGTGGAGAAGGTCATAGTTGCGGCAATCCGTGGTATTCCATGGGATTCTGAGGACATAGTTGAGGTCTACCGGACATTTTGCGGAGACATTTGCAGGAGCCGCCATGAGAGAGATTGAGAAGAGATGAAATAGAATAAAAAGAAGAGGTAAGTAAAGGTTCTTCATTTTTTTTTGTAAAGTTAGCAACTTTTGGTGTAAAGTTGGAAGGTTTTGTGTTGAAGGTGAGGGTTTTTAGGAGAATTTAGAGCGAGAGGTAAAGGGTGTGGTGGGTTTGAAGCCATCGTTGATCTGAGAGGATCTTAGGATGAATTTGAGTCAAACTTGTTTGTCTTGTCAGTGAATTTATCTTCTTGGCTAAGTGAAGGTCCCTGGATTTGGCGCGTTGACGCACGCGCCTTAGGATATTATTTCAAATTTTATTTTTCAGAACAATGAAAAAATTAAGGGCCAAATGGATTTCGTTTCGTTTTCGTTTTTTTTTTTTTTCTGTTTTCATTCTCTTTTTATCTCGTAAAATATATAATATTTGTTTACTTATAATACTTGCCCATTTATCATTTCTGTTTTCTAGAATAAAAAACATAGAAAACAAAGAACTCATAAATTACTAAAAATTTAAAAACACACAAAACATAATAAAAAAATATTTCTATGTTTTCGTTCTCTATTATACCACAATATTTCATTTTTATCATAAAAAAAAATAACAAACACATTTTTACTATTTTTATTTTTAAATACTACTTTCACAAAATAATAGTAAAACATTTTTAAAATTTAAAAAATACAAAATCAAATAAAAATGTCAAAAACATAAATTAATGTCACCTAATTGAATATTTGTATTTAAGATTCCAAGGTAAGGTGTAAATAACTTTTTCCCACCCAAGGTTTAGCCTGATGACCTGTTCCACACAATAAGTTTTAAAATATAATTTTACTATCTACTTAATGAGAATGAAAAATCTCATATTTACCCTCCCTTAATGTCTCGTCTTTTATACTTATTTGTTGCTTAAATGTACTCATTATTATTCTATTTTGATTTAGGATACAAATGGAGGCGTTAAATGCAAAACGGAACAAATTAGGTGAATTCAGATAGTTTCGACATTGCTTTGTAATCTGGGCATAACACTCTCATCCAAGCTCCGATTGAGATGATTCAAAATAATGTGGAACCCTAAGAAAGAGATCTACAACTTTCATGTTTTGAGTTTGGAGAGATACTCAATGCATCAAGGTTGTAATCGGGCTTGAAGTTGATGCACCTGCACTACTGACGTTCTGAAACATTCTGCCCTGTCATGCAAGTCAATTAGGTGTTTTATTATTGGCAGTTTTGAAGACCTGGTGCACGTAAGTTATAGCTGGAAACACCACTTTCCTATTTTATATTAGGACTTTATTTTATTTTCAATTAATCAGATTAGGATAAATGTTATTTTAGGATATTAGAATATTTTTAGGAGATTGAGTAGAATTCAAAGACTTGAATTGGATATTCTTAAAAGGGGGAGAGAGATCAGATTAGGGAGATTACACATGCCTCTCTTTCTCTCTTCTGGAATTTTTTTTTTTTTTTTTTTTTTTTTTTTTTTGAGTTTTGATTATGGCCATGAGCAACTAAAACTTTTATAACTTGGTCGAAGGAAACGGAGGCCTCGAAATCAATAAAACTGTGAGATCTAATCTGTTTTTTCTAGTGTTCAATATATGTTTTGAGTATGGATGTTATTCTATGCCTATTTTCATGATTGTTTCATTTAATTACTAGGAGGCCTAGTTTTTATTATTTGTTGCAATCTACTGCTAAGTTGATACAAATCCGTAATTATTTGTCCTTCTAACTTGTGAGTAATAGGGTTTAAGAATTTGCTTCATCAGGAATTACTAAATCTTAGGAAGAACATTCAACTAAATTAAATACAACCGCTTGTGTTTGTGTTGTTCATTTTCATCGATTCTCTAGCCCTTAAGGCTGCCACTAGATTAAATCTTTAGCGTTTGTCTAGGGTTATTTAGTAGTAAGATTAATTAGATCGTTGTTTCTCTAATTAACTACAACTAGGAGAGATAGAAAATAGTTCTAACGGTGAATACTCAAAGTATAAATTGACATTTTTTGCATCGATGATCTTGTAAAATTCCGATGGTGGATGTTGACTTAACCAAGGTTTGTTATTTGATTGATTAATCTGAATTTTTTTTCCTGAAATTGTTTCTGTTACTCAAACACACCAACTTTTACAACCACTTCTTTACCTGTTTTAGTCAGGACTGCATCACGCGGCTCGCAACTGCGAAGGCGCATCTATAGTCAACCACTTCCGGTCGTCATAGCCAATTGATGTTGTCGTCCTCTCTTCGCGATCGATCGATCGTTGCTACTACTGTTTTGAGAGCTCATCTTCACGACATTCTGCTATCTTTCGTGCCACCACAGCCTCTGTCTTCACGACAACAGTTTGGGGAGCATGGTGAAGGTGGGTACAGGTTGACCAACGATGGTTGAAGTGAAAGAGAGCTCTAAATGCTAATAAGGACAAGAAATGGGATTTCTCGACTTCAGTTGTTGCTCAAAGAGAAAAACAATAAATTAATCTATTTAATAAAAGTTTGTATTTTGTTTTTTTTATTTTATGCAATTATTTGAGCAGAATTAAAATGGGTTTATCTGAAATTAATGTGAATGTTTGTATGGAATTTGTAGGTAGAGAAGTTGAAAGACTTGTGATTGAAGTAGAAGGAAGAGATTAAAGATTAAAGATTAAATGCAATTTTGTTTCCAGATGCTATGAATTGTCTGTTTCAAGTACTACTAGAGAAACAGAGTTTTGAGTTGAAACAAGCCAAACAAGTCATTCTACATCTGTAGAGACAGGTTACTTCTCTGCACTTCAATTGTTTTGAAGATGTTTCAGAAATTTTGAAGAGTTCATTGGGATTGAAAATTAGTGAGGAAGGAGAGGAGTCGTGGCGTTGGTTTGACGTTTCAGATTTGGATTTGTTGAATATTGAATGGATTTGAGAGCTGGTGCAGTAAATTTCAAGTGTAAATTTATATTTTGGGATGAGATTCCATTATACGTTTCAATTTAGTGTTGATTAATGTGTAAAGGTTAATTGTTTTAAGTGAGTATTGTTTGGATGAAGGGTCTGGTGGCGGGTTTGGAGCTGGTGAGGTGAAGAAAAAAAATAGAAGAAAAAAAAAAAGATGTGGAACGAGAAGAAAAAAAGAGAAGAGATAAGCGTATTTGTAATGACTTCTTTCTACTAGTATACTTTAGAATATATACAATAAAATCATACATACTTAGCATAGAAAAATAGTTGGGCCCAATTTTTCTTTACTATAAAATATAATTCTTTATTATCTAAAATAACAAGTACAAAAACTAGTAACGGTGGACAGTATGCCAATGCTCTTCGCTTGACAACTCCCTTCCGACCGCTGCTCACCTATTTCTTACAAAAACATGGAAAACAACTGGGTGGCATAAAAATGCTCAGTAAGTAAATCCCTTAACTGTTTCCCTTCTTTGATTCTTTCTTTAATTCTTTTCTTTTTTCTTTCATTCTTAGTTCTTCTCTTTTCTTTCTCCATTTCTAATTCTTACTGTTCTTTCTTTCTTCCTAATTCTTGCTGTTCTTTCCTTTTCTCTGTTCTTTCTTCATTTTCTTTCTATTCTTTCTAACCATGGTGGAATACATGGTAATATGCATGAATGAAATGCATGTGCAATAACGCATAAAAATGCTTTTCTTCTTCTTTCTATTTCTTTCTTTTCTTTCTATTCTTTTCCTTTCTTCTTGATTGTCTTGCTCAGCTTCTCTTTTATTTCTTGTTTTTCTTTCTTTGCTTGTTCAAGCTTTCTCATTCTTTCTTATTTTATTCTTTATTTTCTTGTTCTTTATTCTTGCTTATTCTTTCTTTTCTTATTCTTATTCTTTGCCGATCGGTCTCGGTTGATGCATGGATTTGGCACTTTGGCCGTGTGAGTGAGTACAGTCCTCATCTACATCACTCTTGCGGACCATACAAATTCTTTCTTTCTTCTTAGCCACTCAATTAAGGTGCATGCATGTAGGAATTCTTTTTGGTACAACCCTCATCACATACACTCTTACGGGTCGTAAAATCTTCTTCTTTCTATCCACTCAATTAAGGTGGCGTGTATGGGAATTTCTTTTTAGCACTCACGGTTCCCCACACACCCCTATTCTTTTCTCTTCTTTAATGCTTTTCTTTCTTTATTCTTTAGTGCTTATTCTTTCTTCTCTTTATTCTTAAAGTGTTTTATTCTTAAAATTCTTTATTCTTTCTTAAGTTATTACACATACAAATATATGCATATGGATGACTCATGCTTAGAATTCTTACTTAAAGCACTCAAAATACAAATATGCAATGTTGCATAAAATAAAGTTTCTACTCATACTCATACTTCTCTTAGGCATTTCATCAAACAATAAATGTGCATATACAAACTTTACTTTAATTAAATTCTCTTTGTTTCTTACTATCCAAAATGAGCCCAACTCCCATGTATCCTCATATCCCTACACGGCAAAACACTCCCAAATTCTTCCAATTCCAACCGAATTTCAACCCATCATCATACAATTAAAACACTTCTCATACTCAAATATATCCAACAAGCATAAATAATCATCAATCTCATTTCAATTTCTCAACAATCATCACTATACATGCTTAAAGAAATCTCTACTCAATTGATTTCTTAAACCTTAACTTGAGTTGGAGTTTAAGTGGAATTTACTTACCTTATACTCAAGTAGTCTCCACTAAAGCTCTCTACTCTTGTTGGATTCAACCCTTCTCTTAACCCTAAGCATAAACTTATAAAAATTCAACTTCTACACAAATAAATCATATATATAAAGCAAGAATTCTTACCCCTTGTTGCTTAGATCAAAACCTTATTAAATTCCACTCAAAAGCCCTCAAATCCTTGGAAAATTGAGTGAAAATTTGAGAGAAATGGAGAAGGGTGGCGGTGGGAGAGAGAAATAAGGGTTACAAACCCTTAATATCTTATTTTATAAACATACTTTCCCATTTTGCTCTTACACTTTCTTGAAATTTCATCTATGTCCCTTAATCAATTACCATAATGCCCTCATTTTTATTGCATTTTACATGAAATTCTCTCTCTTTTCACTCCCCATTTTTCAACTAATTTGAGTGAAAATACCATTTTACCCTTACACGTTTTAGGCATTTTCTTCATATTCTCTTAAAAATACTTTAACAAAATCAACTAAGTGCTATAAACATAATTA